AAAAACAGGATGGAGAAAGAAGAGTCGAAGTATCCTGAACGCAGTACGGAGTACAGGTTATTGTGTGGTAATGCGTGCTGAGGTATGGATGGCCTTGATCGGACGGGTCAAAGAAATAAGATCAAGATCAAACTTGGTGCTACAAGTGTCGCAGGTGCAGCCAAGCAAGATTGGATTGCAGATGCCGACGCCAGATGAGCCAGGGAGCAAGCACACTGCACCACTACTGCTCGAAGTGGGAAGTGGCTCAACACTTGGCTCTTCACAAGGAAGAAGCAACCTGAGCTGCAGGCGTGACTGTTCGTATGACAAAGGTCAACGAGAGCAGAAAGATGGGAAAGAAGTGCCAGACTGGATTAATGTACCAGGTAGGCAGATATTTGTGCTCTCCTACCCACCCCCCACGGCCCAAGACGAAACGAAGGCGTCAATCCAATTTTTCCCTCGCTGTTATTATTTTTATTTTATTTTTCCTTAATCAGAGAAAGGGAGGGAAGCAATCGGCTTGCGGGCGTGTCGGGGGGCGTAAGTACCTTAAGCTCTGGACGCTTGCCCTGGAACTCTGGACTGTGGAGTTGACAGTTGACCGCAAAGAGGTCCTTGTGGTCAGCCATCCAACCGCGGTGCATCCAGCAGCATCCACAGTCTGCAATGTCCACTCTTATCCTTGCCGTGGAACTGGAGACGCCAGAGGTAACCGTCCCGTCAGCACTTTCGACTTTGGACTGGCACCATTGGAACCTGGCATGGAAACTCGGTGGAAAAGTGTGTCGAGTTCGACCGACGCAGACCCTTTCCTTGCGGTGCCTGGGCGATAGGTACTCCGTACCGAGCTAAGCTTTTCCTGGCACTGGGAAGTACCTGCGGCTCCACCGCGGATGGAACAGAAGAGATACATCTCAGATGTACCCTAGGTACTTCGTCGCCAGTGCACCTCTGACGAGAACGATGCACTATTTAACTCCATCGTTTTGCATTACTAAAGGATTACCGCAGTATATATAGACGCTACCCTACCCTCAAATTCCGTACTATTTAATTTTAACTTTTTTTTTACTTATCTTTTTTTCTATTTTACCCTCTCCCTCGTTAAGGGATCGCTAAAATCGTAGTTTTAATAACTTATTAATAAGTTAATATTATTATTTAAAAATAAATAACCTATTTTTATATATAAATATTAAAAATCTTATTATTATAAAAATAGTAATAAATATATTAAAATATTTAAAAAAGCTTTTTAATAAACTTTTAATACTATTTAAAATAATTATTTTTAAGTTATAAAAAAAAGCTAAGGTATTATATTAATATAACCCTATTTATTTTATTAATATTAATAATACTTTTTTTAATATAAAATATATTAATAATATTTTATAGCTATATTATTATACTTCGTAAATCGTACTTAATAATAATAAGGATTTTAGTATTTTTTTTTAAGTTTTTATTAAAGTTATTATTATAAAGTTAATTTAGTTATTAATATTTTAATAAGTATTTTAACTTAACTTAGAGGCTCTTATAGCTCTTAATAAGAGGTTTTTAAAAAACTTATAATTAGACTTTTTATTTATTATAAATAAAGCTATTATAATTAAAATTATTATAATTAAAATTATAATAATTAAAACTATAATACTACTTATAAATCTTAATAATAAGTAGTTAGTAATATAATTATTTTTTTTTATAATAAGTTTAAAAAAGTATTTTAATTTAAGTACTAAGTAGGTATTATATTATTTTATTAAAACTATATTCTTATACTTATGACTTAGAAAGAATTAACTTTCTTCGATAATAAAGTACTTAGACGAGAACGATGGAGTGGGCCGTGGAAGGAGGGAGCCTCGAGAATCGAGATTACAACGGGCAGCACCTCACCTCACCGCACCTCACCTTACCACCTTGCGTGCTTACCGAGTGTGTACGGAGGATCAGAACATCTCGGGAGCACCGCGGATGCGGCTGCAGTCACCTCACGTCAGTCATATCAGGGCTGATCACCTCACACTGGCCTGCACCACCTTACCTCTTGCATAACTTTTTCTAGACCATTGGATGGTTGATCGCACCAAATATCCCCTGCTACAGCAGATGGATGCAGCATCATGTCGAAAACTTGTCGGAATGATCGCCAATCATATGCGCACATCATTCATGTGCTACTATCTTTATGCGACATCCAGCATCGGCGTCCGCCCGCTCGAGTCTTGGTCCTTTAAACCCCCATGCGTTACTACACAAGGTACCTACTTGGGAGTTGGGACAGCTTGCAACACGCCTGCACCCCCAGCACGCTTCGGTCTGCTCCGATCTCGTCCACCGGTCTGTCTTAACGTGGCACCAAACACTTAGCCTGCCATTTTAATGGTTACGCAAGGTAAGATTGGTTGCGACTCGCGAGATCTGTTTCGTGGCGTACCATTCCAAGACACGCCAGAAACAAAATCCCCTAAAATCCCTAGAATCCCCCAACCAAGCTGGCGGAGGAGTGCCAAGTAACTTTAATTTTAGGTGGGTCAGCAACATGTCGCCCGTCTGTCCAAGCAGACACTCGCACGCGTGCTGTTCACGCCCAAAGGAGCAACAAGAGCAACTGCATCGTGACAGGGGCACCACGTCCTACCCTCCCTCCCACGCCAGCCTCTGGTGTACACTACATGGCTCTAGTACGTCATTTTGTGCCAGCACATCTCATCTCTTACCCTCCTTCGCTGCATCTCATGGCCTTCTTCGACGCTGTCCATTCCTGATATTCCTGAATGACCATCTTCTCAGCTGCAGTTAGCGCAACTCCAGCATGTGAACACATGCATACTTACCCAGCACTACCTAATGGGCCAGCCAAGACATCCCACTACGTTTGATATATATGTACAGCAATGGCAGTACTACCATCGACCTAAGATGCAGTCTAGGTATCCCACACAATTAGTGCCCCTCAACTGGTCTGTCTACGAATACTCGGTGCAGGCGTACGGAGTACCTACACATGTACGTATACCAAAGTCAAATTCGTCCGTTACTCCCATTAGCACCGCGAATCCGGGGTTTTACCACCGGTACCTGACGAGCAAGCGTCTGGCATTTTTGCGACCGCCTCACAATCGGTGGGAAACTGGCTAAACTCCCAGACGCGCGCACCATCAATATTCCCGTGGTCACAATACCACCGACGAATAATGCCTCTCTACCCCTATACATTGAAACGGCGTGGCACTTCGCCTCCAACAGGACATCCCGGCCGAGAAGACCATCAGTCCGACCAAGCTCCCGGCGAGTGGTACCTTGTCTTGTCAGGGAACATCCAATCCCCTACCAGAGACACTCATTCGCTGCCCGTGGCTATGGTAATGTTATTAAGCAGGTGCCATTTGCAAGCCACGGCAGCCTGTGAAACTCGTCGGCGTCCCCAGGAGCATATCCCTCATCCTGATGCCCATTGACTCTTTTTAGGCGCAACATATCTCTTACAACGGGGGCCTTTCAGTCGTCAGCACTGCCCAACCGATGATCTATGGATGCCTGTCTGGGGAACCCGTACGTCCCGTTTGTTGGCTTTACCACAGTAGAGGCAAAGTCGCCTGAGAAGAACAGTTGATCACCAGCTCAACCACACTGGCTTATCCTTTGCCGATAAGGAACTCGCGGAAAGGCAATGCGCCTCCAATACGGCATTTCTGACATGCTCACTGTCAATCACAACCCTAGCCTGCGGACTGCCGGTCGCTTCTTGCGTCCGTCGCATCGACCAAGTCCAGACCTAGCACACCATCCGCCGTGTAGAGAGCCGATAACCACTGCCATTTGCCAAGCACTCTCCGTGACACAGGTCATTTCTCACTCTCACCACCTCAACACGACGTCGTCGCCAGCATATTCCACCACCGCCTTCCTCTACTTGTTCACCGCCATGCCGCCATTACTGCTGTACACCTCTTCCGGCGTAGCGAGTCCTGCATGCGATTTGTGAGATGGCAACGGTACGGGTACATAGGACGCTCATCTCTTAACCTGGACGCCAAGTATCCCTCCGGGCCTCCAGTACGAATACCCCAGCCGCGCGGAACAATGCCCAGATCTGCCAGATAGGCAACGCAAGATGATGGTAAATGCAGCAATCCGACTCAACCCGCTGTCTGCCAAGACCACACACATTTGCTTCTGATTCATTCGCCCATGCGGCCCACGTGAAGGGCTTGGTAGGTTCTGACCGAAAGATCCTATCCGGCCGCATAGATGGGCCTAGAAGAAAAGCCAAACGATGTGTTGATGTTGTTGCGCGTCCTACCCCCGGTCTTCGACTACAAACGGGAGAAAGGGGGTGGCATACTGGCGACTCGAGTGTTCGCTCTACCCGTACTCACTTTTTTGACCTTTTCTTGAATTCTCGTTACAGCCGTAACTAGATAGGACTTTGATCGATTGATATCGTTAAGATACCCCGGGAATGACGCTCACCAAAAATAGCTATGCACCCATGGAATCCAAAAATCCAATCTTGTTTTACGAGCCGTTTTTCGACAGTCGCAACCACGATTTCGCCGCGTTTGTTTTCCTTTTCTTCTTCTTGGTTCTTGTTTGCCTTTGCCAGAATCAACTCCTTCGTGAACCTGGAATAGCGGAAAAGGGAGAAGTGAAGCCCACGAAAAAAATTCCCTTTCTTGTTGGGGAGACCGGACGAGTCGAAAGTAGATTATAGCCCAATGGCATGGACGATTATCCCTCGTTGGATATTGTCTGCGTATTCCTAGAGATAATACTGACCATATTTGCATGGGCTTGGCACAACAGCTTGGGCCTTTGGCTTGTCATCGAATAATATCGTATCATGTGCAGATTTATCTGATCTTTCCCACCGCAACCAGTCTTGCGCCTCCACGGCGTGTTTGTGTATGATCTATAATACAGTGAAGCGGCTTCAAATTCACCGTTTGCCTTTCCCTAAATTCCCCACCCACAGACGCCGTAAACCCGTTCGTGATTGCAATCTATCGCTTGGCCTTCTCTCTCTGGATCTTCTTGAAGAAGGCACTGCTCTCTCCCTTTGCCTTCTTGAGCTTGACCCTCTTGTTTTGCTCCATGTAGGCCATGTCCTGTCCACCCGACAGGTCGCCCAGCAGACCAGCCGTCCTCCTCGCGGCGGCCTTCTTCCTGCCCCTGGCCGGCGCGCGGCCCATCGTGCCGCTGTGGAACAGGTCGTCAATGACCTCGTCTTCGCCGCCCGCCTCGTTCTCGATGAGGACCTTTTGCAAGAGCTCTCGTCTCTCGCTCGCCGCGGCGTAGGCTAGGCCAGGTGTCTTCTCGATGTTGGCGAGCTGCGTGATGACCTTGAAGGCGTAGCCCTGGTCGACCAGGAACGCCTGTCTCTTGGAGGAGTAGTACATCTCCTGGGTATCCTTCGACACCAGGGAATAGAAGAAGGCATTGAAACCCTCGTCGTTTCTCCTCTTGGCTCGCAAGATACGGCCGAGTCGCTGCGCCTCTTGACGACGAGAACCGTAATGTGACGAGATCTGAATGAGACAGGTAGCCTCGGGAAGATCGAGGGATGTGTCACCAATCTTTGACAAGAATAATGTGTTGACTTGAGGGTTATGCTGGAAGTTTTGCAGAATGTTCATGCGCTCTGCCTGTCCAGTGCCGCCGAAAATGTAAGCCTTCTCCAGCTTCTCAGCATATGTCTTCAAAGCGTAGACGTTGTCCGAAAAGACAATGATCTTGTCGCCTCGAGACTCGTGGTAGTTGATGAGGTACTGAGCGGCTTGGAACTTTCTCGGGTTCATGATGTACAGCAGCGCGCGTTTTCTGGCCGACGCCTTCAAGTACTCATCGTAGAATTCCGTAGTCATGGGGCACCAGACCTCAGCGCATTGAACCTTGGCAATGTGGCCTTGTTCGCTGAGTTCCATCCAGTTCGCCTCGTATAACTTGGGGCCAATCAAAAAGTTCAGATCTGAGATCTTGTCATCTTCACGAAGCAGTGTGGCGGTCAAGCCAAGCTTCGAATGCGTCTTGATGGACGAGGTGACCTTTCTGAAGATATTGGCGGGGACAACGTGGACCTCGTCCAGAAGCATCAGACCCCATTCTCGCGTCTGCAAAAAGTCCATCATCTTCTTGGCCTCGTGAGAACGCTCCCTGGTTTGCGTCACCATGGAGTATGTGGTCACAATGATACCGGTGTTACCCGGGAAGATTCTGCCCTTGTTGTCTGACGTGAATGCTTCGATATCCTCTGGCTTAATGTTGGACCACTTGAGGAATTCGTTTCGCCATTGCACGACAGACATGGAACTGGTGCAGAGGACGATGACGCCCTTCTTGACGGTGCAAGCTGCGGTGATACCGACAAGCGTTTTTCCAGCACCGCAAGGAAGGACGATCAGACCGCTCTTGGCTCGTCCATTACCAAACATCTTGCTCAGACTCTTTTCTTGGTAGGGTCGAATCAAGGTGCCCGGGCGCAAGTCGATCTCCAGGTTCGGGTTGGCCTCATCTCGTCGGAAATCGTACTCCTCCAACACCGGATACTCCAGTTCAAGACACCTCTTCTGAACGGTCTCGACTGCCTCGTCCCCGATCTCAAAGGCATGCGTGATCTCCTGATCGTCATCGTCGTCATCGTTCAGTGCCGCGTAGACCTCGCCCTCCTTCACCTCACCCTCGCGTCCCTTGGCCTTTTGTTCTTCGGCCTGTCGCACACCAGCAGCATTGGCAGTGCCTGGAATGACCAGAGGGCCCTGTTTCGGAGCCGCTATTGTGGTAATCTCCTCCGTACCGTGTACTCGCAGCGGTCCGATGACGGAGTCTTTCAGCAGCTTCTGCAGGATGACCGGATCCGTACTCTCGACAAAGTATTTCGTATTCTTAAGCACCAGCTTGACTTTGCCGAAACTTTGCGTGCAGCCCTCGATGAACTTGCGAATGCTGTCGGGCAAAGGCATCTTCAGAAACCGATCGAGAGTGTTGATGATATCCTGGGGTGACAAGCCCACAGAGACCGCAGCGTACAAGCTGTGTGTCGTGAGCGCATATTCGTGAACGAAGGACGGCCGGGAAATTGGTTCGGCAATGGTGATGAGGAAGTCCTGTGCTTGCTCGGCCAGCGGGTTGAAGCTTTCGAGGAAAATACGGCCTTTGGCAGGGTCGATCCAGAGCGGGCGATTCTGATAATCGGGTTTCAGCTGGAGGAAGGAGAAGTCGCGCTTCTTCTTGAATAGTCCAGTCATGGATTCATGACCGTTCGTCTTGGGCCTGTCCAGGTACGCCTCGACGGAGAACTTGTCGACGTTCTTCTCGAGATTCTCGTCTTCCGACTCGCTCACGGGATCCGCTACCGATTCATTATCGCTGGCGATACTCCTGGGGGTGGCGCCCCCAGGTGTTGAAGCTACAGAGCCCTTTCCTGCCTTGAAGCTGCCGGTGGCGGCCCCTTGAGCCTTCCTCTTCGGTGGCATCGTGACAGGATTGCGGGTTGTTGGGGGGGGAGATAGGAGATGGATGGTGGGCAAATCAAAAAACCTAGGAAATGGATGGATGGATGATGTAGCCTGCAGGCACGCATCGGAGAAAGGTAAGCAACTCTAAGCGTCGGCGTTAAAGTGGTACCTAAGGTTTCGCAGGCAAAGGGTACGGCCTACAGGGGTGGCACCCTTTGTCACTGGCCGGCACCTTAAGTGGAGACCACTACAGAGCGACTTCGCGGGGTGCAAGGTGTAGGTCAGTAAGGTAGGTACCGGGAGGGAAGACTTGGGCGATAAATCCAGACCCCGCCAAATTTATCAGCACCGCCAAATCTTTGATAGAAGATTCTCCCCATTGCCTCGTCTTGCCAACTCATAACCGCGACACATTCGATTTGACCAGTCGACCGCGACGCACCTGTAACCACAACGCGATCTAGTGCTTTATACCGCGAAGACAGCCCGCTATGTGGTGAGCCAAACGAGAACCCACAACCCCTGACCGACAAGCTAACATATCACCACAGCAAACACATTCTCAACGCGCAAGTCGCAATCAGGTCACCCTGCTGTGCGTCGAACCCCCTCTGCCCCTAACCTAAGCTACACCCGACTAATTTGATTGCCTTCCTAGGCAAAAAATGGTTCGACTGCGCCGAGTGTCACCATGAGCAGGAAAAGCACCCCCTGCTCCAGAGCCTTGAAATGGTCTTTGCTTGCAAGAAGTGCAAAAAGTGCTTCCGCAAAGACGCCCAGGAATTCGAAGATGCCGACGAATACTGCCCGCACTGCGATAACCACTTCGTCATTGAGGCAAAGACACCCAAGGCAGCCATCTCCGTTGAGGGCGAAGACGCGCGCAAGGACAGCCGCATGATCAAGGACGAGCGTGTCCGCCAAATCGCCGGACGCTCAATATTCGACCCAACAGACGATGCGGACAAGCTGGGCTAAACTGTGGGGGGATTTTAGCTGGTTTACGAGCATCAGTGTGGCAGCAAGCGATTTTATGGACACCGTTTTTGTAGATTTTCCACGGTCTAAAGGTGGTAATACATTGGTATTTGGTCAGATACCCTCATGAGTGTCGTCTATCCGCGAACCGCAACGCCTAGTCATTTCCTTACTCATCACCGTCACCCGAGCCCGAGCCTCTCGTGAGGATCGCCGCGCTTCCGGTGCCGGGTGTGCGTCCAGTCTTCTTCTTGGCCGCCTCCTCTTGCTTCTCTTGCTCGATGCTCTTGACGTGGTTCTCAATCTCCTCCACGGGCAGCATCTCAATCGTCTTGCCCGGTGCCATCAACGCGATTTCAATGTTCTTGGCTCCGGTCTGGACAACCTCGAGAAGAGACTTGATGGCGAGTCGGATGGTAGCCTCTCTGTCCATATCCTCCTTGTAGTTGCGCTCGAGGAACTCGCGAACGGTCTTGCTGGAACGGCCGATGGCGTTGGCTTTCCTGCAAGGTGTTAGCAGATGCACCGCATCGCATAGTATGGAGTAGTCGCTCGTACCATGCGGAGAAGATGCCAGAGGGCTCGGTCTGGTAAAGGCGGGGGACCTTGCTGCCGCTGTCGAACCCGACAATCAAGGTGCTGATACCAAAGGGACGGACACCACCACTCTGTGTGTACCGTTGCTGGACACCAGCAACGTACTTGGTCATGTACTCGATGGAGGCGGGGTCTTCGACGGTCAGTCTGTGGGACTGTGCCTCTAACCGCGCCTTGTCGACGAGGATACGAGCATCGGCGTTCAATCCGGCGAATGCCAGGCAGACGTGGGTGTCGAGGAGCTGAATCTTGGAGGGGGTAATTCGGGTATCTTGCAGCTTCATGGCTGATCGCTTTTCGCATCCGAGGACAACGACATCTGTACCCTTGACGCCGACCGCACACGTTCCTATGCCGACGATTAGCTGGTTCCGCCCTTGATTGCGGCGGGCAAGCGGCATTACCTCTCTTGACAGCTTCGCCAGCGTACTCGACCTGGAAAACGTGTCCATCAGGACTGACGGTGTCAGTTGGGGATCATGAATTGTTTCCGGGGCAGGGGCAACCGTGACGAACCTGAAGACTGTTTGCAGGTGCATGTTAGCTTAGTACAGTGGAGCTGGGGGGCAACAAGGAGGGGGCCCTTACCGGACAACGCTCTGTCGTATCCTGAAGCCATGGTGACTGACTGATTGAGGGACGGATTATCGGAGATATGTGTGGTGGTATGTGGATTGACGATTTGCTTGGATGTTGTGGGACAATCGCCGTGGTTGAAGAGGTGCGGTCGGTCGAGGGTGGATGGAGTAGTGAGGTAAGGTAAGGTCAAGAGAGGCAGGCTGCAGGTCTGACGAAGCTTTGGCGCCTGCTGGCGTGGGAAAGGCTGAAAAGCTCCAGGAGCTCCTGCAGGGCCGGGGAAAGTCCGGGTAATGGTCACTCGAGCTTAGAGGTCTGTGCGCCTATCCGTATCACACCCGCCAGATGGAAGCTCAGGCAAGCAGCCACATACAGGTTGTATGTCAACGAGCACCTTCTGAATTACAAGTCCCCGTGCGTAACATTTTACTCGTTCATGAACTACAAACCAGATGGGTTGCAATGTTCTTTTGACATCTCTAGATTTCGTTGAAGATCGGCTTCTACAACACACCTTTTAGTTTTCCATCACAATATTAACAATACATGGCAGGATATGGGGTGGCAGTCCACCAATACCCTCTACATCAGGTCGAACGTCAAATGTCCAGCGCTCTCGACTTTGATACTCTCAGAAATGCAATACGCCTGCGCCAATTCATACCTTCCACCATGTTTTGATCGGACCCGTTACTCCCCTTTTCAATTGTCAGGCAGACGGAGCGAGTAGCCAGCTGGCTCAGAACCTGGCAATGTCGGTCCATGATCTGCTCTGCAGAACGTTGGCAATATCGTGACCTTTGGAGGTCAAACGCAGCCTGAAGTTATCGCACCACATAATCTCGAGCTCGCCGTCCCTTGACGACGCATTGATCTCGCGATAGAACTCCATGGCCACGGCTAGTGGTGCAACCAACATGTCCGGCTGAACTGTCGTCGACAGCGCAAAGTCGAGTGCCCTGCAGATTCTTGACGCAAACTCCCGCCTCTGTTGGTACCTCCCCAGGTTGATCTGCAGATTCGGAGGCAGATCCGGGTACATGTTGGGAAAGTCCTCGATGACAGGCTGGAAAATGGTGTGGTGCAGGCACTCGATGCAGCGGTGGAGGAGCAGCAGTGTCATCCAGTGGTACAGGAACATGACGGACGACACACCGTCCTTGAAGGCAAAGTTGTCTGCAAAGGGTAGCTGCTGCGCATCTGGATCATCCGGCTCTTCTATCCAGTACGCATACGGGTGCTCGGCAGTAGGCGCGCGGGCGTACGACTCCCACTCTTCCAGCCTCCGTTCGATTTCCAAGCAGGTCTCCAACAGTTCCTGTGCCTTTAATCGACGCTGCAAGGTTGCAGCAAAGGGTACCGTTCGGTCGACGCGAGAGAAGATGCCAGGCAACCCGGCGATGATGTCAAAGAGCCTGTCGAGAAACGTCTTAGGGTGCTGTTCCCACGGTGTAGTGCACCATTCGAACGAAGAAAGAAACGTCGTCTTTCGGTGTAAGAGAGCGAGTATGATCTTGGCACCAAGTCAGCTTTTTAGTTCATCCGCAGGGCCAACGACGCGTATCTTACAGCATTACACCTATATACCCTGACGAAATAGTGGTGGGCTGGGAATTGACGAAATTGTTCCGGTCCAAGCTTCTTGACGACGTCCATATGCTCTTGGGGGACACTCCAGGGTGTCATGCCGTTGGTCACCAAAAAGGATGGATTTTGCTACAAGGATAGTCAGCACACGCTCTTCCGCGACGACCAACTGGCATCTCACCTCGAATAAAAATACGCAAAGACCTTCGGGGGCTCCGTTGTCATTCCCTGATGGCAGCAGACTGACCATGGTCTGCGCATTTAGGTCCATGTTGCCGCCGTTATCCCATGTCTCCATATCAACTGGTGAGTATGGCGGTAGGGCCATCCGGAACTTTACTTGGCTTTGCCCTTCGGGTCCCCTCAGGATATTCTGGAACCTGGTGTGCAATGCCGCGATCTGTATCGAGTATACGACACCGTTGTCGGATACCGAAACCAAATCATCCCATGCCGGCATCAACGGTTCTGTCGGTACCAAGCGAGGAATCTCGTCCACGGTTTGGCTTCTCCTAGAACCCCTGGAAGAAGACGGCTGGACTTGGCGGGGCGGGTGTGATGAGCAGCGGCCAGCGTCGTCTATGGTTGCGGTGATGAAGACCATTTCTCGTTCGTAGCCAGCACATTCGCGGCCGCTATCGATACACTTGCGGCAGTGTGGCCGTTCGTTATCGCACTAACCGTTGACATGTCAGCCCGCGGGGGGCGTTTTTTTGCTGTCGAAACGCCTTTAGAGTGCTTACCTTGACTCTTCGAGCCCTGCATGTCTCGCATCCCTTGTACTTGCCGCGGACTCCAACCATGTTGACAACTCGGACGTTTTGGTGAGAGACAGGTTATTGCAAAGACAGAATGACCATAGCCGATAATACTTTCTCGTCAAGACGAACAGGGAAGAAGACGTACTGGACGGTCGATATATATCACAATGGGGAGCCGCAAGGGGGAAGCAGGCATCAAACGGCCCCCAAGACTGAGAGGAGGGCGCGGATCAGTGAGCTTCTTACGTTGGCCATTACCGGAGAGGCTGTGGGACCCAAGGTAGGCCATACACTTGGCTTCAAACAAGCCCCCCTCGCGGGAGCCAGTTGATGGTGTGATGCAGCCTTACTACCGAAGGTGGACCGTGACAACGTATGAGACGGGACCAAGGGCGCGGGAATCACACATGGTCTGGTTCGCCCCGGGACGAATAAGACGACTGCGGCTGCGGTATGCAGTCAGGCGGCCCCGAGACGATCAACGAATGCGATGCCCGTTCTTGTCGTGGTCTCAGGCATGGTGCGGGTAGATTGCGCCGGGTGAGTTGCAGCCGAGATACGATACCAGTAACATCTGGTAAATGAGTAGGTTGGGTGGAAGAAAAGGTGATGAGGCCATCTTTGCTCGTTTCCCCTTACACGAGGAGTGGAATCTAACCGATATCTAGGACATTCCTTTTTACAAAACCCAAACCTTGGACGACAAGGCCACGAACGCAAATCAGTGGACGAGACAGGCTGGAAGAGGAAAGTGAGCGTGATTTAGCACCGATTGTGTGCATTCGTATGTGTGAGATGCTCCGAGATGCCTCGGCCATTCAGAAGGGATCGTTGCACCCTGTCAATGCCACCCGCAGCAGGGAAGTAAGTACATACACGCAGAGACAGGCAGAATGACGGAGAGAGAGAGACTATCGATCGATGCTAATAAAAAGTGTAAACAAGATTGATGTCAACCGTCTCTGATCCCTCCGTCTCAGTCCAGTCCGATGAGACTACCTATGGGTAGATGAGAGCATTGTCCCCCGCGCGCGGATGAGTGCACGTTCCAGGCAAGGCCCCGTAGGGCTGCATGCCGTAGCAGACCGAACAAACAGGGGTTCGGCTCGGAGGTGCGACTTGCTCGAAAGAGAGCCCCACCCTCGGCTGGCGGAGCAGTCTGCAGGACGGGATGCTCTGGACGGCGTGATTGGCTGACACCGAGGCTGACGTCGGTGCGGCCGTTCCCCAAGTGCCGCGTCAAAGTAAAGCAGCAAATGAGAGCGCAGCAAAGCGAACAGCAGCCTTCGGTAGGGGGTGAGATTGTCGGTGCCCAGGGGCCGCCAGCACCTGTCACCACTCACCGTCAGCCAAACGGCGCACGGAAAGCCCGGTCGGTCCAGGGGGCCGCCGAGAGACATACACCAGGTTGAAAGGTAGTCGACAGGGGTACATATTACACTACTGTCTGCGGATTACATTACGGATATACAGTTGGGA